TAGTTTTGTCTGTGTTTTGTTTGTTACAGTTTATGTTTGTTACGAAATAAACCAAAATAAAGCTGGCGTAAATTTAATTTCATTGTAATTTCGGTGACTGTCAAAGTTATTAAAGTGTATCATAGCTGATGCTAACCTCCAGGGGACCTTATTAGTCTCACGTTTTCAACTGACGTGAACAGAAATGATGATATTAAATCATATTTCTAATCTGCTGATAGGATGTTTGGTTCACTATATCGTGGAAGATAATTTTTCACGGCAGGTTTATAACTTTATTATTCGTCCGTGCATCAAATATTTCTCTAACATTCTCTGAATATATTGAAAATATAGTTCCAAGCTTCTTTTTTATGTTGTGTACATGTAAATGGTTTAAGAACAACAAAACAAGTGTTACAGATATATTATATATTAAACAGTAAATACAACAGAAGAGAATTGCACGACTAGTGAGTGACTGTCGGTTGACCCAGCGTTCGATCTATTCATCTGTTCCCCCAAGGCTTTCGCTCCTACTAATCTTATAGTAGGTGGAAGAGTCCAACATAGACTCTTTAGAGGGAGGACACCACAATATTTTATATCAAGAGACCTTCATAAAATCCAAATAAAAAATCTGCTGTGTTATCGGGCCTAACCCGGCACGCAGCCACGCTCATATTCCCATCACTGTAACGTAGATACCCTGTGCCTTATCTATAAATATTTTCACGGTAAATGATCTAAACTATCCTCATTGGTAACTCATCTTCACGAATTTAAGTGCAATGCTTGATTGGCAATTCGGTCTTGTAATTTCACTGTTGAAAGTATTAGTTGTAATCATAAGTTCTTTGCCAATAGCTTGTTCTCAGGTACTTCTAGCTTGTGGGACTCTCTTCCGGTTTTTTGTTTTCCTGTCAACTACGATCTTTAAAAAATTAAATGCAATGTAAAATCTCAGCTCCGGTCTCTTTGTACAGTGTTCTTTTATTGTCCAAACAATTTCAGTTACCCTTGAATTAGGGTGGATTTTATTGTCTTGCTTAGATGTAAATGATTTTAAAAAGTAATATATTGTATTATGGTTCATGAAAAAGAAAGAAGGAAATAAAAAAAAGAAAAATTGATAAGAAAAAAGAAAGAAAAAAAAATAGATGAAAGCGAAACGAAAGAAAAAAATGAATATAGTATCTAAACAAAAATACTGGAAGAAAAACATAAATTCCAATAGACATAAAGCAAGAAAGAAAATGGATAAGTAAATACACACACACACACACATATATATATATATATATATATATATATATATATATGATTCAAAAAAAAATTTCGCTTGAAGATGGAACAGAGCTTGATTCTTTGATTCAATTTAATTCAAATAATTATATTGAAGTTTTCGGCTCTTGTTTTGAAACATGAGAACTCTTATGTAACGATGGAATCATATTTTTTAAATAAATAATTATATATATATATATATATATACATACACACACACAAATATATATATATATATATATATGTATGTATGTATGTATGTATATATATTAGCATATTAGCTGAAAGAATAAAGAATGAAATAATAAAGATTGAAAGAAGAATGATAGAAACGAAGCAAAAGTTAAATGGAGAAACAAGAAGAATGAAAAGTAAATTGAAGAAAAAAGAAAGAAAAATATAAAAAAAAGAAAGATCGTTAGAAAGAAAGGAATACATAAAGGATGATGAGAAGGAAAATATAGAAAGAAAAAAAGAAAAAAAGGAAAACAAAAAACAGATAATAAAAACGAAAGAAAAAAAAAGAATCTAAGAAAAGAACTCGCCATCGATATAGAAATAAACTGAAGAAGCAGCAGAGTCATTATGAAAAAAAAAAAAGATAAAAAAGGGAAAGAAAAAGAGCGAAAACAAAAGAAGAGAAAATGATTCAACGCCGAATAATAAAACGTTTAAGAGAAAAGGCGGGAAAGAGAGAATGATGATGTTCTTATTCGCCATTTATCACTGTCTAACGTCACTTGCCACTAACTTCCCATTTGATCTCCCGCCGAGAGAATTGCAGCCATTGTGGTAGTCAGGCCGAGCTGCGCAGGCGCAAAGACCAAGGCCAGCGCCATTGATTGATTTACGTCTATGTTGATTAGGCGGGAAACAAAGTAGCCAGCAAAAGTGAGCCAAGTTTTGGCCTTCTTCACACACTCACAACGATACAACAGGCAATTAGGGGTGACATATGTTTGTATTTAGATGCATACGCATACATTCTCACATGTATTTACACACAAAAAATTCCTTCTGTTTCCCACATATGTTAGCATACGCACTAACACAAGGTAATCGCGTTCATACTTTTTCTGCATTTATGTCAGTATATATATATATACTTTCACATCTATCTATCTGTCTATATATATATATATATATATATATATATATATATATATATATATATCCGTACACACATGCACAGACGTGCGTACACATACACCCGCACACATAAGAAAAATATAGTTTTAGATATACTATATTTATGAGTAAAAGTGCTCAATATCAGGGATAGAGCGTATACAAATATAAAAGTGGACATTGAGCTCAACACCGCAAGGGAGCAGTCTGTTTTACGCTTGAAAGCAATCTTCAGACGATCTGATTGCATCCAAGCTTGAAGCAGAACTTCGCCACCCGGTGTTGACATCTGCATACATATATATATATATATATATAAAGACATTTTTATGTTTATACATTCTTTTTATAGATACAAATATTTAAGTAAATGCTCTGTTTATAATAAACAGTATTAAACAACATTTACCGGGCTGGATGTCCGGGAAATTTTCTCAGAAAATATTCCTCCTCCGTCAGGATTCGAACCTGTATCCTATACGGAACCGTCATTTAGCTTGACGTGCCTTTACCGACTTGGCTAAGAATGAGCGTTCGGTTAGCAAGGTCGAATTTACTGTATTTAAACTTCAGTCTTCCATGAATCTCTCACGTACATTCATATATGCTCATGGCGTATCATAATGTGGGACGTCATATTTATATATATGTAAGCAAATATATGGATATAGATCCGACAGTATGAAGAAAAATATATACGGAAAAAACAAACAAAAATCCTTATGTACAATTTATACTGTTTTAATGTTAATATGTCAACGTTGTATTGATAATGTTATAATTTATGAATATGTCCTGAAGATGGTTTATTGGACCGAAACGTCCGACGTTGACATATTAACATTAAAACAGGATAAATTGTATATGAGGATTTTTGTTTGTTTTTTCCGTATATATTTTTCTTCATATATATATATATATATATATATATATATATACAAGTTGCAATGAAGTCAATATACAGTTACTTGCAATAACAATTAAGACAAAGCAATTAATCATAGTCCAGAAATTTATTATAAAAATGGTTCTGATTAATTCTGGTTAATAACAATAAAATGAATGATATGGTAAACAATAGTAAATTAATTACTGAGACTCTTCGAACTGAAGCCACCTGCTTCAATGCTTTGTTCTTTCTTTCTTTTTGTTCTCTATATATATATATATATATGTGTGTGTGTGTGTGTGTGTGTGTGTGTGTGTGTGTGTGCAAATATATTGAAAAATAGGAAAGAACCGTTAAGTTAATAATGCGTTCTTAATAAGTTTTTAGTATTTTTGTTTTTATTTTAAAAAAACTGTGCTCGATACGCAAGTAGAGCCTATATTATAATTATTTTTTTAAATGATTCCATCGCTACACAGGAATCGCCATATTTCAAAAATGGAAGCTAAAAACTCCCAATTCCATTAAAGTACCTAGTTTTTTTCATCATCAAGCGAATTTTGGAATAAATATTTTTGACATTTACGGAGCTTTATAAGCATATACATTCGTAATATTTGTTTCTATGGATATGGAGAAGACCAGTCATTCTAACAGGGGGCGACAAGTCACACACTTTCACTGATAACCATTTTATCAACATGTTAGTTAATATAGAAAAGAGGATAAGTCAAAGTAGGATCAAGAATGATGACATCGTTCAACGTATATGGTCTTTTCAACGACAGAAAGTTTTTGATATATATATATATATATATATATATATATATATATTGTTAAATATAATAGACAACGAATGTCTATTATGTTTGAACATGAGCTGTTCTAAGATACGTATAGTTGCTTGAATTTAGGGAGAAAATGAAGACAAAAAGTGTTCAACATTAAGATATTTTTTATTATGCTGTTCCTTGATCTAAACTTTCGGTTCACATGAGGCATTAAACAAAGATATTAACCATCAAAGATGATATTCTGTTATGTTGACATAAAAGTTTGCTATGCGACGAAATCTGTCACGGAATAACAGACGCAAGTTGTAAATTCGTGATAGCAAACTTCTAAAGCAACTTTAAAATATTTGTTTGAATAATGATCTGATATATATATATATATATATATATATATATATATATGCTTCACTGCGTTATAGTGAGCAAAGGATATACTGGGAGGCTTGCTTCGGGAATTAGTTGGAGATTCTTCTCCAGCTGTGCTGGTCAAACTCTATGCCTCCGGGCAGAGAGGATCCCCAGATGAGGCTATGTCGAAGGGCAAAGTCTCTTCTCGGGAAACAGCTACCCAATCACATTGTATATGGGGAATTTTTGGCCGAATCTACGGGCCCGGATACCCCACGTTAAATTTTGCCTTGTGCCACATTTGACCGCGTGGGATGGTTGGTAAATATCCTTGCTTTGGGAATTACTAGCCTGCCACCCGATTCCCTGTCTTTCTCTTTTACAATAAACCTCTCTTTTATCTACGCGCGTGTTGCTGTTCCTTCACTCGAGTACCACCTTTGTTTTAAACCGCTTTAAGTATGCACACACACACACACACACACACACACACACACACATATATATATATATATAATACAAGTTCGAAAATAACAATGTCATTTCATTACGTTTTTTATATTCTAGTCTCAGATATGATTTTGGGATCTAAACATCATCATCACAAACTCAGAAACCCTGAGCAATACCTCATGATATTATTAGTGTTATACTGGAACACACCTATTCTATTGTTAATAGACTCTCTCACCTATAATAAGTAGGAGTAGTAGTAGCAGTCACTGGGTCGGCTGGGGGTTGATCAGTCAGTCGATGTCGGACGACCGTTAGTCGGATATTAAAGTATCAGCCACCACAACTAGATTACTGTGTCATTACCTATTTATATCAAGTTCCTAACGTTTTGTACGTCGAACCCATTTTAGGACCGATTTAGTACAAATACAAGCCTCCACTGTGAACCCCTACCTAACAATGTGGCGACGAAGTAATCGGATTCATACGGAGGAAGAAAAACCTTTTTCGCACACTACATAACAATTAGCTTTGTACTTTTTCCTGGGGAGGCACGATAGAGCAATTCCAGTCGAATCCCTTATATTCACTTACGTTCTAATACTCTTGAGAAAGGTGGTGGTGGTCGTCTTCTTCTTCTTCTCCCACCTATGGGTAAATAGCAGGACAGACCGGGTTCTATAGCCTTGGGTGGCAACTGGTTTACCGCAAAAAGAAATGGCAACCTATTGCGGGAATAAATCTACCTCGTCAGTCATATATTGAAAGATACATAATCGCCTAGTGACTGACTGACATTTTCTGTAAGAAACAAACTCACAGCTTTTTCTTTCAAATATCTTATTTAATATAAAGTTATATATAATTACCTGCCACGCAATCCGTCCTCCTCTTTTTATTAATGACATAATATAGATGCATTACAAGCAATTATACTTCGTGTTACTATAACAACGAAATAGCTCATTGTTAAATAGGAAGGTCTGATTGCTAATATATTTTCTTTTGTGTTCCGTGCTAGCTTTTTATGAATATTTTTTATATTAATGATTTAGAAATCAACAAACAACAACAGAATGAACTGCACAGATAAAAATGCGAGATTTCTGGTGAAGAAAATATTAACAAAGTAATTGCAAATTTACTTCAATATTTCCCTTTTTTTGACTTTATAGATAAACATCTATAAAAAATGAGATTTTCTCATTACTAAATATATGAAAATTTCTTCTATCGCTGACTGTCGCATAATCTTTCCTTATTCCTATTCTCTCAACCCTCTCTCTCTATATATATATATATATATATATATATATATATATATATATATATATATGTATGAATGTATGTATCCATCTCTCTCAAAAAATAAAATATCTATCTTTTCTTGGCAGAACACATAAATCAATTCGGTCTCAAACAAGAATACCCGTTCTCTTTTTTTTTCTTCCATTTTTTCTCTCCTTAGTCTCTTTCTTTCTCTCTTACTTTTCTCTCTTTCTCTCTCTCTCTCTCACACACATACACACACACACACACTCTCTCTCTCTCTCTCAAGCAAACAAAATACATTTATTTTCTTGGCGAGAGGTAAAATAATTCACTCTTAAACAAGGATTCCCTGTTTTTCTTCCTCTCTCTGTCTCTTTCTTTCATTCTTTTTTTCTTTCTTTCTTTCTAATTCTTTCTTACCCTCTCCCTTTCTGTCTTTCCCTTTCTCTCTCAAACAAATAAAATATCTTTCTTTTCTTGGCAAGACACATAAAATAATAGTTTTTTCTTTCTTACACTCTCTCTCTCTCAAAACATTTTTCTCTCTCACTGTCTGTCTGTCTCTCTCTCTCTGTCTGTCTCTCTCTCTGTCTCTCTCTCTCTCGCAAATAAAATATTTCTGTTCTTGGCAAGACATGCAAAATAATTCGCTCTCAGACAAGGATTACCTTTCTTTCTTTCAATCTATGTGTCTTACACTTTCTTTTTCTCCTCACCACTCCCTCCCTTTCTCTCTCTCTCTCTCTTAGTCCTTATTTCTCTTTATCGCTCTCTCAACTAAAACATTTCTCTCTCTCTGTGCCTCTCTCTATGTCTCTCTCTGTTTCTGTGTCTCTCTCTCTCTCAAGCAAATAAAACATTTCTGTTCTTGGCAAGACACAAAATAATTCGCTCTCAAACAAGGTTTCCCTTTCTTCCTTTTATTCTGTTTCCTTCACTTTCTTTTTCTCTTCACCCCTGCCTCTCTTTACCCCCCATCTCTCTCTCTCTCCCTTTCTCTCTCTCCCTTTCTCTTTCTCTTCTCCCCCCCTCTCTCTCTCTGTCTCTGCCTCAAGAAAATAAAACATTTTCTTTTCTTGGCAAGGCATAAAAGTATTCACTCTCATGCAAGGAGTTGTTCAAATATTTCACGAACGAATAGGCAATAATGCATTTACACGACTATATTTACAACGAGGAAAAATGCACGCGTAAATGATGGCTGTCGACTCTGTGAATCACTGACAAGTATGATCCACGTTTTTAGTTCTCGTGAGAAAGACAACGGTTCTTGAAGTCATCAAGCGACTTGCAACGCGTAATGCAGACGTGGCAAACTAAGTCGAACAGTTAAATTCTGGCGAACTGGTAAATTCTGTTCCAAATACAGGCATAAGACTATATTTATATGTCAAGGAAACGTCGGCAAGTTTCTGTTTTTCTAACACCCGAGAGCACCTCTCTGCTACTGCTTGGTCTCAAATTGTCCGCTGACCTGTGATAGGAACAACTGCATTGAATCAATAGCTTCATCTACCGCAAGGAAAGTTGGTTTTCTGTGTCACGCCAGAAAGTTTCTCTCATCCATCCGTCAAATCTGTAAATCAACCATTCGCCCTTGCATGGAATACTGTTGTCATATATGGTCCGGAGTCCCCGCTGATCGTCTTATGGTCCTCAACAAAATCCAGACACGGATATTGTTATGGTTCAAGTTCGTTGTACCACGGTGATGGTCCAAGGTTAGAACAAATGAAAGAATAACACGAACACAGGTATGGAATACAAAGATATATTACAACAGAAATATAATACAAAGAAGTAGAAGTATTAGTAATGACTATCAGATTTGGTTAGAGTGAACTATGTTGTCTCGATAAGCATCACTATTCCAATGTCTTTACAATATGCTCTCAATTATCTCTCCTCGTCTTACAATCTCCTGGTACCTCTTGAGAGACGCAGTAATTATAATGTCAGGTATAGTCCATTATTATTATGGGTATGTTCCCATAACAGATATGCAATGCGATATTTGTAGAAAAGATATTTGTAGAAAAGACAGAGAGAAGCGACGGTACGTCTGTACCCTTGCTTCCTTTTGTCTTTTCTACAAATACTTTCACGGTAACTGATCCAACGAGTTACTTTCGCTTGTTCCCAAACTGCATGAATTTAAACGTGCTACTATGTTGACATCTCGGTCCCATTCTTTCACTGTCGAAACGGTTAAATGTAGCCGTCTCTTCTACGCCAATAGGTTCATGTCTCGCACTACGCGTCTGTGGAACTCCCTTACTCTTACTTCCTTCCCTGACAGTTATAGACTTCAAATATTCAAATGTAATGTCAATCGACATTTTCTGATACCTCGATCGAATTCCCCGTCCTTCTCTGCATCCTTTTGTAGAGGACCGTGCTATTCTTTGTTTATATACACATATACGGTGGCCCGCTGTAGATCTTGAGATTCTTTATAAAGAATCAGCAATATAATTGGTCCTGACCTGGCGTCTCGGCTTCAGTCACCGCCGAAATGTAGCTTCTCTGTCACTTTTCTATACATACTTCAATGATAATTGTTCTGATTAACTTTCCTCTATGGTAACGAGGCTTTACGAATTTAAGTGCAATAAGGTCTGGTCAATTTACAATTGAATTGGCCGGATGTAACCGTAGATCCTAAGAATTTATTTTCTCGCACCTCTCACATGTGGAACTCTATTCCAGCTCGATACCTTCCGTCCAACTTTGATCTTCAAAAATTTAAATGCAATGGTCTTAAAAACTGGAACAGAGGGAAAGCAAGAGGCAGTTAGTTATTTATTATAGTGTTTACAGAAAACGGGAGCCAGTTCGCGAGCAGACATACTAAGGAGTATTACAGGGATGCCATCAGGTTCACATACTTTTTAGGAATTCAGACAAGAAATCATGACAAAAACGATAGAAGGGTTTATATGATTATCTCTCAACAGAGACTCAGTTCTATATATATATATATATATATATATATATATATGTGTGTGTGTGTGTGTGTGTGTATGTATGTATTTATATTACAATGAATCATCCATACAAAATGTAAATGATTAAACTTCATGATATAAAATGGTGAAAAGGTGCATTAATCTACCAATCACTCGATGAATGTTATGATACTTGTTTTTTTGTTTTGTTTTGTTTTTAATTATAAGCTGTATACGGTCTTTCTTAAATACGCAAGTACTTTCGACTGCACATTCAGTCATCTTCAGGCATGGAAATTATTTTGTTATTGGTAAAATTTAAAAAAATCTTAATTTACTTTTTGTATGAATGATTCATTGTAATATATATTGAACTGCACCATATATATAATATATATATATATATATATATATATATATATATATATATATATATATGTATGTATGTATGTATGTATATAAATATATATATATATATATGTATGTATGTATGTATACTTATCCACAGACAGATTGTATCGCTGTATCACAGCTTATCACTGTGTCTAGACATCCGATTGCTTAAAGCTGGGATCGAAACCCGACCGATCTGGCATCATTCAGAGATTCTACCCCCAACCTATCGTCGCATGGCAGACCGGGAGAGTATTTTTATAACGTTTTTACTATGCGAAAGACGTCTGCAGCTAGGAGAGCTCCATTCTAGTAAACTTGCCCCTACTCGAACATCTCCCCAACTCTCTTTCTATTTAGCCTTTACATCCTTTTATCTATATATTTTTAAAGTTATTTTTAAACACCTTTTTTTCTCTTGTTTTATATTTAAATTAATATTTCATTCTTCATATAACCCCAAATTAATGTCATAAGTTTAATATTCGGGTTTAATTTTATAAAACTTATTTGTTTGAAGATAAATAACTTTGCCCCTCCCCTGACCCTTACCACGGGCCTTTCGTCTGACTGAAACACGGAAATGGATATATTCTGTATTAGTTATTCGATAGGCTGATTTTTTTCTTTTTTTAGCTATGACAATTAAATTTCTATTTCTAATACAAACTCAATGCCCACCGGGGTTGATAAGACAGACGACCGATATCTTCGTCTGCCTAAATAGCTATTCCCCATATGAGGTGATTTAGGATTTTATTGGTTATTAATTATTTGCTCTATAATAATAAATGAATTGAGATCTTTTTGTGGATCAGTTTAATATTTTATATTTCGAGCATCCACTTGGATTATTATACCAATGGATTTGTTACCTTTTATATATATATATATATATATATATATATATATATATATATATATATATATATATATATATATATATATATATATATATATATTTGGTTAGATAGATATGAGTTTGTGACCCTGGGTTTCACGCTTTAGCGATCGTCAGACAAACTACCGCGCATATAATATATAAATAATTATACATATATATATTTATTTATATTTATATACACTTTTCATACACAGACACACACATATATATATATATATATAGTCGACTCTCCCCACCCCACCCCTCGAATTCGACGTATGGGGGTCAATCAGATCAGTTTCCAGGAAACCGACAGCCCGACAACAGCACATGAGATTTGATTATAGTGGTGAAGGTTTCGTGCAGGACCATCCGCACTTTTTGAAGGTCCAAATACAGATACCTGGTGCACTACGTGCCACAAGGTCCCTAAACGACCCTCCACAGGTTTTGAATTCAGAGTTGTCCTTCTCCTAGACCAGTTGCCCTCCAAGGCTATAGAACCCAGTCTGTCCTGCAATTTACCCATAGCTGGAGGGAGAAAAAGAGGATTTACACCTTTCCCAAGGGTATTAGCACGTAAGTGAATGTAATGGATTCGACTGAATTGAACTCGGCTCAATCCAAGCGATTCCTCAATCCAAGCCGCTATATATATATATATATATATATATATATATATATATATATATATTTCTTTAGAAGTGATGGACCTTTATTTAGTAATCGTACAGGTTTTTCATTACTTAAACGCTATTTTTATTTAGTGGCTGCTCATATTTGAGTAGACGCTCTCAGCATTTATTAGAAGAGCAGTATATAAAGTAATTTTATGTACGGTTTAATAAACAAACGGAGCGTCTATTCAAATATGCGTATCTACGAAAAATAGCGTTAAGTGACAAAAAATATGTCAGATTAATAAATAAAATTTCACATCTTTAGAAATTGCTTTCAGTTAGGATACAAAACTGAGCAGATATGTATATTCCGAGTCTGGGAAGGATTTGCTCTTATAAGGCACTGTTCAACTTTGCTTGATACTCATGGGTGAAAAGTCTAAAGTGTGCCGAATTTAACGACGTTTCTATGGAGATGGAGGTTCAAAACTTGTTCGAAGACCGCATATTTTCTTTAAGAATTTTTCTTGAATATTCTGGCCGATAGAGAAAATAAATAAATATATTCGAAGTGTATATTCAACTATAAGTATCTACTAAAGAAATATGGTTTAAGTAATAAAAATATATGTGTGTGTGTGTGTAGCTATCTCAAAATTATAAACGCATCATTGTTAGTTAGTAAAAGAATGAACCGGAATTGAAAATTACAAATCAGATATAGCAAATAATTAACTATCTGGGAAGTTCCCTCTGAAAGTTCTCCACTGCCTTAACCTATGAGCTCTGGTAAAAACATGCAATGATAACAGCAAAATTGCAATATGAGCACTGGTAAAAATGGTTGATGAAGACATTAGGTTTATAATACCCAGAAATTCATACACAGATGTCCTCACATGGCACAGTGGATAAAGGCATTAGTTAGATCCAGTGACAGGACCCAAAAAGTGTGAGTTCAATACCTGGTTAAGGCAGTGGAGAACTTTCAGAGGAAAATTAGCAGGAGATAACTGTTAACTGACATCCATCAAACATGGCACATGGAACTAGAACAGTCTACCTAAAGTTCGAAATTCCAACCACCTGAAGAAGGCCGGAGCGTACAATGGCCGAAATGTTGTGATAAATATGGCGACAAAGATGAGGACAATAGTCCGAATAATATAAATAAAGACCAAATTTATTTTGAATTACAGAAGACGCGAAATTGTGGAGCGCCATGATCGAATTGGTTATGAGGCGT